TGTATATTTACTATTAAAAAAGATATTTATATATGTAAATATACATATACATATATAAATATATGTGCATGTATGTACATTGCAGCTTTGCCAATCAGCATAGCTCTTCATGCTTCCTGCTGCTGCGATCAGATTTGAATAATTCAATTATGCCATCATCTCCACATCTTATTTAGCCTATAATTTAATTGAATGTGATTCTCCTCCCAGGCTAATGCTGAAATCGGAGCTAGTAACGCTGCCTTTCAAATGGGATGCATTGGTCTCGCGTCGCAACATTCTCACCACGAAGCTGTGCAACCTGCAGCAAAAGATTTGGCAGGCCTGGCTGGAGGACATTGACAAGATAATTGCCGAGGGCCTCGATGAGCACGTGCTGTTTCAATCGGCCGCAGGTCAGCCGCTGCAGCTGAACTTCGCTCGGGCGCTCTTTACGCTGCTCAAGGAGACCAAATATTTGCTCGCCCTTCAGGCAGCTGGCAGAGTTTCGAGCAAACTATTTCCGATGCCCGAGGCGCTGCTCTCGCTTTACGAGCAGCGCGACGCCTACTGGCATCGTCGCATAAGACTCATCAAGATTGACGAGTTCTACAATGGCATCCGGGGCGGGCAATGCGCCGCAGCCGAGCTGCAGCTAATTGCCGCCGAGCTGGCGGCCATTGATGAGCAAGTGGCCACCGCCTGTGCCCAGCTAACCTGGCGCAATTACGGTAAGTGGATTAAGCTTATGCAAACATCACTCAACATCAAGAGCTGCGCCCCCAGACGAGCCACTCATCGAGAGCATCTTTGAGAAGTCACGCGATCTGCATGCTCGCCTGCACGAGTCCCATGGCAACCTAGATGCCATACTGGCCAGCATGCGCCGCTGGACCTGCGAGCCACTGCATCAGCGCAGTCTATACGGACGCAATCTGCTGGATCTGCGCCATCAGCAAGAGCGAGTGCGGCTCCGTCTGCTGCAATGCGATGAGACGAAGATGCTGCTAAATCGCTTCTTGATTGCCAACTTTTGTTTGTTGTTCAACTACGAACGGCAGCATCTTCAGCTCTATTCCCGCGACCTCACCGTCCAGGAGGTGAGCCCGCCTTGTTGTGTCAACAATATTATTATTATTGTAGCTGCTGTRTACCTTGATGTTGACAGTTTCTGCACGAATTTCCGGATGAGCAGCGACGACAGTTCAACAAATATTTAGCCACCGTTGATGAGTTGATTTGCCGTGAAGTAAAAGAGGCCATGAGGATCAGGTTTGAGTCCGCCAGTAGCTTAAATTATTCCATTCTCCAGCAGCCTATCACAATTTTAGTTTGCAGCTTTCTTTTCTTGTTATTTTTCCGCTTAAATTATTTTCAAGCTTTCACTTTTTCATACAATTTACTCAAAATATTGCTGGAAAAATAAATGATTCAAGTAGTGCATCTAAAGCAAGATTCTGCATCTCCGATAACTCTATTCCAGGAAAACACCTATTTGAGTTAATAATATTGTTTTAAAAATATATAATCTTTTAGAAATTCATATATCAAAATAGAAAGCAGGACAATAGAATGTTGCAAATTATTTCTATGAGTGCATAGAGAATTTCTCATAAGCTTTAAATAAATCTACTTAAAATGAACCTTGCCCGCTTCAGGTTAGACATAAACAATTAATCGAGTCTTATCCAGTTTATCTTTCAACTTTCAACTGATTTTCTGATTTTTTTACTTATAAAAACTCTTACTCCTGCCTCATTCGCACCCAAACCTTCTCATTCAAGTATATTTTTAAAATAGAACACAAATAAAAAAAAAAATTAATAAAATATTTAAAAGCAAGTTTAATAAATAAATATATATTTG